GGGGGGGGGGAAGCAGACAGGGAGAGCGAAGACTTGCGGTAGATGGCTTCTCGAGGGCGTAGAATTGTTGCACAAGACGAGTGCCCGCTTGACAGAGATTTTTGGAGAATGAAAGGGGGGGAAGCAAGGTCTAAGGGTTCTCTGAAAGGGTCAGCGAAAATGGGTCCTTGTGGTGCAAAGGATCGGGCACAGGGAAGTGCGAAGGGCCGTCCTTTATGGGAGAGGCGTGAAGCTCCCGCGGCGGATTGTGCACGCAGGGTGGGGGTGATGACCCGTGCACAAAAGAGGAAGGCTTGCATGGAAGATGTCGTCGAGGATTGCATGGAGCAGTACCCGATGGCGATTGCCAATCTCGCTGGCCGGCGGCCAGGCATGAACAAGGTCGCACGGATATGTCCACCTGACCCGAGTTCAAGGCCCAGCTTCATGGAGGAGGGTTCGGATTCCGATTACGATTCCGACGACTCCTACTCTTCTAAACCCGTCAATGTATGTAGCAGCAAATTACGCCCCTCGTCTGGCGGTGGAAGATTGGAGAAAGATTTCAGACCTGCATGCAGTGCAGCGCACGTGGTCCGCACGGCCCCCGGAGAGGCGGCTGCACTGCTGCAAGTGCCTGTTCCGCAAACGAGACCGCCGGTGCTGGAACAGCATGAAGAAGTGGCTGCCAAGGCCCAGGCAACGGATCCTCTTCCGTCTGCTCGAGATGATAGCGAGTGCGGTGCAAGAACAGGCATTTGCTCGTCTCCATGCCCGCCCGTCTGCAATCCGAAGCCGAATGACGGCAAATCAAAGCGTGACGGACGACGACAAGTTGTGGGTGCGGATCCACGGTCAAGAATCGGCACTTCTGATGCCAAGGAAGTTATCGAAATCAGCAGTAGCGGCACCGTCAAAACTGATGAGGCCACCGATCGCAGCTGCGTTGTGGAAGCTAGCCATTTCTCTATGCCTATGGTGCACGAGGAAAGGGTTGCGGCATTGGAGGAGAGCTCTGGACTCGCAGGCACAAGTCATGGCGAAGGATGGAAAGGCACGCAAAGAGGGCGACGACCGCTGCATTCGATGATTGGCAAAAGGTCGGCGTCCAGTAAACTAGGCAGGTTGCCGATTCAGAATGATCGCGCTCAAGCAGCCGGCGGCGGGACGACAGCTGGTACCTGTAATCGGCATTGTCGTCTCACCTTGGACTCAAAGGTACAGCTTCCCCGGCTTAGTCATAGACCTCTCCGGCGCATGAATAGAATCTTCTCCCGACTTCCTCGTCCTCTTCCTCTTCCCTACTCCGATAACTACTCCGATAACTACTCCCACAACTCCTCAGCTCCTTCTCCCATGCCGGCAGACTCGGCGGTATCAAGTGTGCAAATGGGACCAAATATGGCTATAATGGCCGGCAGACTCGGCGGTATCAAGTGTGCAAATGGGACCAAATATGGCTATAATGGCCGGCATGACAAAAGAACGTCCTTTTCCTTCTTTTCTCCACCTCCTTCCCCTTTATTATGTCTTCATCTCCTTCTCCCATGCCTACCATCTTCACCCCAATAGAACGCCCGGTCATTATCACTGTATCAAGTGTGCAAATGGGACCAAATACATACGGTTATAATGACCGGGCATTGTATTCCGGTGAGGATGGTAGTCCTCTCCTCTCCTTCCTCCCTTTCTCTATGCTAGACATCTGCCCCTCCTCCCTTTCCTCTTCACTCCCCTCTTCATTTTCTTATTCCCCTGCTTCTCCCCCGCCTCTTCCCCCTTTTTTCTAACGCTTTCCCCCCGTCCAGCCCCCATTTTGCCTAGTTGGTGCTTCCCCTCCACCTCTGGTTCATGCTCCTCGTACACCTCCTCCCTTCTCTCCAGCTTCCCTCACCCTCATGTCCCTCCCTTGTACCTCATGCTCTTGGTTTGGTACTGTGTTGTGCTGCATTTGCTGCCCTCTGTTAGCGGAACTAGCGACATTTCTCTCTTTGCTGGGACATGTGGTCCGCTGGCAGGCTCAGCTGCTCCGGATGCATCTGTCAGAATGCAACTGGATGTGCAGATGGCCAGGTGCATGATCTGTAGATTCTGTACCTGGACGACGGCTTGGAAAAAAAAGCATTCGAGCAGGTAGAGGCGAAGCATGGAGGCGCTATCCAATCTATGTCACACCCCTTCACATCATCGTCATCATCAGTTTTCAACTTTTCGTCACTATTATAATAGTATTTTATTATTTAATTTATTTTATAAAACAGTTACTGGCACTACTGCTTTAAAGTTTAAATGTCCTTTTTTTTTTTTTTTAAATAGTAAAATAGTGACTCCTTTTGTTGGGAAAATTCGAAATTGGTTTAATGATTTAATCTGCATTTAAACTGTTTTGTCGTGCAGGGACATGGTGGCTATGATGAGGATATTTTTCAAAATCTACTTCTAAGGGAAAAGGCACGGTGTTTTCCAAGTGGGTACCTTGGGACCACACAACCGGATATTCATCCCGAGCATCGGAAGATGATGGTGAATTGGCTAGTGGAGGTGTGTGTTCTCATCTTTTTTTTTTTTTTTTTTTTTTTTTCCAGAGGACTTGTAATGGTTTCTGCACTCCTATGCTAAATGCTTTTGGTTCTTTTTTTTTTTTTTCCCCCGTGCGAAATTCATTTTGTAGTCCCTCTTTTTCTCAGTTTTAATGAACTTCTTTTGTGCTTCTCTTTTTCATTGATTGTTCTTTCCATGCCTTCCATGTCTGTCATCTTTTTTTTTGGGGGGGGGTCATTTATGCTTGTTTTCTTTTCTCTTTCTGTACTGAATTGTTTTCCGCTTTGCAGTTTTGATAATTTTTTTACGTTTTTTTAAATGATTTTTGTGAAGTTTTCTCTCTTTTGTTTCCCTTTCTTTCTAAATGTTTCCCGCAATATATTTCGTAAGTTTTTTTTTTTCATTTTTTTCAATTTTATATTTTTATGTAAGCTATCCCGGGCTCACCATTCTCAGCCTTTCTTAAAAAAAAAAATCCTTCCCCATTGCGATGACCCGTCAAAAGACTCAAAACACATACTGAGAACACTGCTGATTTCTGAGCTTTGCCGCTGGAATGAATGCCTTGCTGAGATTCCTGCGTTCTGCTGAGTTTTCTATGTGTGTGTGTGTGTGTGTGTGTGTGTGTGTGCGTGCTCGCTGGTCCGCATACCTGTCTGAGTGCTTGTTGGTATGAGTGTGTGTGTGACCCACAAGGGCACTTGTTGGTTTGGGGCCCCCGCAGGGGTGGTACTTACCTGTGGCCATGACTTTGAGGGTTGCGGCGGGGAAAACACTCGAGTGGCGGGAGTAGGCCCGCGACACTTCGAGCAGTGTGAAAAACACTCACGTAGTAGGTAGGCTGGAGAGAGAGAGAGAGAGAGGGCATGATCCAAGAAGAGAGAGAGAGAGAGAGAGAGAGAGAGAGAGAGAGAGAGAGAGAGAGAGAGAGAGAGAGAGAGAGACGGTTACAAACCTGAATCGAGGCTGAGTCTGTGTGAGCGGCAGAGACCGCAAGAGACCTGAACACTTTCTTTGTATAATAAAGATATTTTGCGTCTCAACCTCTCGTGAGATTCTTGTGTCACGGCTATCGATTCCGAGTGTGAATACTCATCTGGATGCTGATTGCATGTGTGTGCGAGGTTGAGCGTGATTGACTTGCAAATCATTGCAATGTCCTCTCGGAAACCAAAAACTGATACAACTTCCCATAATCACGCTGGAAATTGAGTCCAGTCCGCCTTGGGAGATATACGCACTGTACGCTTGTCTCTGTTATGGTCGAGAGACGCCGATAACGCGGCATTTGTTTTCTTCTGCAACGGAAGGATTAACCGCGTCTCCACCCCCGTCTCTTCCCCTGAGCGGCTTTCGAGGCTATTTTTCATCTTTTACCCAGTCTGTGAAACGCTCCTTTCAGGGCATATGCACACTTGGACTTTCCCCCGATGTATGTGACTGCTTTCTGAGCCCGCCTGGATGCACCTGACCGCAATTACGTCCGCAGAGAAGTGCAAAAAGTCCTAGTGTGAGGATGCCCTCAGTCCGGCCTGACTGTCGGACTACTTTTTTCTTCTTCCTTTGGTAATCTCTTTTTTTCTTGAAGTGACTTTTTTGTTCTTCTTTTGCTGGTATCGCCTTTTCTTCTTTCTATAAAAAAAAAGGAGGGGGGGACGGCCATTGGATATCTTCATGAATCTGACCAACCCTATGTACTAAGTAGTAGGTACTAGGTACCTAATTCAGAAAATTTCATTCATCAAGGTCCTCTGGATATCTTTGTGAATCTGGCCAGCCCTCCCTACTAGGTACCTAATTCAGATAATTTTTAGTAATTTCATTCATTCATCAAGGGGTCCACCGTCCACCTCAGGATTCCAACTCCGGTCTATATTTTTAGCAGTTTGTGGGTGTACCAACTGAGTCAGGCTTGTTCTTTGTTTTTTGCTGCTATTGCTGCTGTACAGTTCTCCACAGAGTTCGGACTGCAGCTCGAAACTCTGTTTCGTGGAGTCGCGATCATGGATCGTTGCCTCGCTGAAGGCCCTGCGCTTCGCCGACAGATGCTGCAACTCTTGGGAGTCGCGAGCATGCTTGTCGCATCCAAGTTTGAAGAAACGCAACCTCCCAGGTAATCAATTTTTTCCACACCTTTTTCGACACCTTTTTTTTTTTTTTTCAACACCTTTGAAGTCCTTCTGACGGAAAAAGAAGAAGAAGAAGAAGAAGAAGAAGAAGGAAACAAAACCCCTCGTTGCCTCGCCGAGGGCCCTGCGCTTCGCCGACAGATGCTGCAACTCTTGGGAGTTGCGAGTATGCTTGTCGCATCCAAGTTTGAAGAAACGCAGCCTCCCAGGTAATCAAATTTCCAATTTTCCACACCTTTTTCAACACCTTTTTTTTGTTTTTTTTTGTTTTTCAACACCTTTGACGTTCTGACGAAAAAAAAAAAAAAAAAGAAAAGGAAGAGAAAAAAGAAAGAAAAAAAAGGAAGGAAACCATACTTGCGGCGCATCTCGATGCGCTGCACTGCGCTTGTGCGCCACACCGCGCATCCCGCACGACGCGCGCGCACTGCATGCGGCGCACCTCCAAAAATGGGGGTCAAAAAAAAAAAAAAAAGTTGTGAGGGGCGGTAGTAGACCCGGCCCCCTGCTTGCGTAAAATAAGAAACGGGCAGCCAAATTTTTTTTGGAGGCCGTGCGTTGGCCTGAAAGCTTTTAGTAACCTGTAGTTCGGGTAACACTCTGTGTGTGTGGTAGGGTTATTGCAGTCTGTACGGAAGGGTTCTTGCAGGCCAGATTCAGTCATGATGAGGGTCGCGATTTCTCAGAACGTTCTCTTCTTATTACTTCTGAAGTAGAAAACGACGGAACTGACAGCCGTTTTCCTGGATTGTTTTTTTTTTTTTTTTTTTTAAGGGAAGAAAATCAGAATTTCTTTGCACGAGTGTCGCCTGGGACGTCCAACCTGTCAGAACCTCAACGGTAATTGCAGTCTGTATGGTAGGGTTCTTGCAGGCCAGATTCAGTCATGATGAGGGTCGCGATCTCTCAAAACGTTCTCTTCGTATTACTTCTGAAGTAGAAAACGATGGAACTGGCAGCCGTTTTTCCTGGATTTCCTTTTTTTTAATAAAAGGAAAAAAACGTAAAGGAAGAACAGCTCTTTGCATGAGTGAAGCCCGGCGCGTCCAACCTGTCAGAACCTCAACGGTAATGTTTACCAACGGGCTCGCTGCACTACTCTCGACATGCACAACAAGACATATATGGCAATGTATCTTTCCATGTTTAAGCGGAGGATTCAGTCTCATTTGTTCAGTGATTCTCCAAAAAAAAAAAAAGAAAGGTTCCAGAGATACGTTGCGTGCTTACCTGATTCATCGGCCCTTCGCTCTCCACCACCCAACGTGTGAATGAATCTTCCGCCAGAACATGGAAAGATACACCGCCTTTGTACATGTCGCCCCGCTTCCGGATTCATGTTGCCCGTTGATAAGGGCGGTTTCTTCGGTCCGATAGTGTGAGCACACGGTTCTTCTCTCTCTCTCTCTCTCTTTCTCTCTCTCTCACACACACACACACACACACACACACACTGAAAATAGGCATCGCGCTCAGTGCGCACCTTGCAGGGGTAGCGCGTCCCCATGCGCTGCGCGCACGGTGCACCTCGTGCGCGTGCGTGCGCACATGCGCGCGCGGTGTCACCGCGCGCATTCCGCACGGCGCAGCGCACCGCATCGCGCACCGCACTAATGTGCCGCAAGTATGAAGGAAACAAAACCTCCTTCTACAGTGCTTTGACTGCTTTCCCTTATGTTGCACACCACGCTTCTGTCGTCTACCAGCTGGTAGATTTAGAGCGTAGTGTAGTTGGCCTGT